CATAATATGTTACTGCCTTCCCCTCAAAGACAAACTATTTAATCTATTAATCTATTTTTAGCATAGGGCCTGAAACATAGTAAGTCTTTATTCACTAAGTGACTAAAAGCAATTACTGTTAAGTATTTACTACGTGATAATAAACACCATGCTAAAATGGTTTACACGCATTTGCTCACTGAACCCTCCTAACACTCCTTTGAGGTAGATATTATCCCTATTTTAGAGATGAGAACTATAAGGCTGTGGAGATTAAGTTACTGGTTGAAGAACGAATTATATTACAGATTTTTTTTAAGATTTTATTTATTTATTTATTTATTTGAGAGAGAGTGAGAGAACATGAGAGGGGGGAGGGTCAGAGGGAGAGGCCGACTACCTGCTCAGTGGAGAACCCCACGTGGAGCGAGCTTGATCCTGGGACTCCGGGATCATGACCTGAGCCGAAGGCAGACCATTAACCTACTGAGCAACCCAGGTGCCCCTAAATTACAGATTAAGTAACTGTTAACACAAGAAAAAATATAAAATGGGCTATATGAAAGGCAAGAACAAAGTGCTACAGAATTCAGAGCGCTCACTTCTAGTTTGGAAGGCATAAAGTATTTGAGAGTTCATGAAGGAGGTAGCATTTAAATCAGACCTTGAAAATCAGGCAAGATTTCCATAGAAAAAGATGGGTGGGGAAGGGACTGTTACTTTCTCACCAGTAATGCTAACATACAAAGGAGGTAGTCTGAGTGGAATGCAGGATATGTAGATAAACCTCTAAATACAGTAAGATTAGTAAAATCATTAGGAAGGCCTTGAATACCATACTGTATGGGTCATGATTTTATCCTGTAGATACTAAATCCCTGAAGTTTCCTAAACTAAGGAGTAGTAGAGTGGTAAGATAAAATGGGTGTTTTAGCAACATTGCTACAGCAAGAATTACAGCAGTGGTACAGGAAGCTATAGAAGAGATCTGGAGGGCTTCTAAAATACCTTTACAATTTATATTTTTTGGTATCTAGTACTTCACTGAATCTTCATTAGTATTAATAAACAGTGCTACCCATATTTTCACTTTTTTAAGATTTATCATTTGAGAGAAATCGTGAGCACCTGTATGCAGGGCGGTATGGCAGAGGGAGAAATCTTAAACTCAGCGTGGAGCCTGATGTGGGGCTTGATCCGACGACCTCAAGATCATGACCTGAGCTGAAATCAAGAGTCGGATGTCCAACCAACTGTGCCACCCAGGCACCCCATCCACATTTTCAGTTTGAGGAGCCTAAGATTCGGTAAGGTTAAAGAGCACAGAATTAATACTCTTTGTGGGTCTCTGCTGTGAGAAAAACCTACACAAAGCAATTTAGAAGTAACATGATCAGAGTCTTCAACAATTGCCAATACAGAAAGGGAAGAAAAGAGTGAGGAACCAAAGATGGATAGATGCCCCAGTGCCTGGACCAATGGTTCTACCATTTACAGAAATGCAGGAAAAGTTGGCCAGGAAAGGGGAGTAAGTTTGATGCTTGTGGGATACGTTGGTGGTGACTGACGATTAGGTGCCTACTCTGCAAGTAGCTGTTATGCACGGGTGGTGGGCAACCTGGGTTGGAGGGAAAATAAGAGATGGGCTAAGTTACTTCTTGACCAAGAAGTGTTCTCAGTTAGAAAGGTTTTGTTACTTGCAGCCAAAAACCAAACTAGAGTGGCCTTAAGTATCCTAGTTAAATCAAGAGGTGAGACAGTTCCAAAGTTGCCTAACTCGGTGGCTCAAAAACATCAAGAAAACATCAGATTCTTCCCATCTTCTCTACTCTCACCCTTAGAGCTGACTGCTCTTACTTATAAATTCTGCCTCATGACCCCAGCATTACTAATGCCAATTTTAGAGTCAGAAAAGGGCTCTTTCCTTTCCAGAGGCAGAACACAGCCCTCAATAGCCCATCATGTTGGTTAGAACCATACTACCTGAGTAAGTGGTTCTATTTACTAGCTCTGACCTTTCACAAGTTACTGAACTTCTCTATGCTTCAGTTTCCTCAACTACAACATGAGAATCTGAGAAGTAAAGGAGTTAATATTATAGTACTTAGTGCCTAGCACATAGCAAGTTCTATTTAAGTGCTGGCTATTATTACAGCTTGCCCATCTCTCTCTTTTCTTTTTTTTTTTGAGGTTCTCATACTTTGGTGATACCCAAGTTAAAACAGAAGAAGCTGGCAAAAAAAAAAAAAAGTAAAATAAAACCTGGCAAATCTCTTTTAAATAAGGAAGTCTTTGCCAGAAGTCCCCCAGGGTTCCCTTCCTGTCTAATTAGCCAGAGCTGCAACACATACCCAAGCCTAAATCAATCACTGCCTAGGGATAGAATTACAATGACTGGTTAATAGTTTATTTAATCAAGTCCTATCCTTGGGGCTGGGGAGGGGCTGCCAGATTCCTGGTTAGCAAGATGGCAGGAATGGGTGATAGTTTTTAAGAGTTTTTAAGAGACTGTGGTCTCTGCTAGGGAGGGTCAGAGTAAGTAACTTCTAGAGCTGCAAGCATTACCCCCACAGGCTTCTAATGGCAGTGAAATCACTACAAAAGTCTGTTAAAGCTAATGAACTTTGGCACAGGACAAACAGTATAGGATATAGTAGGGCTTGAGTAGAGCACACCTGAGAGGCAGTGAAATACAGCAGGTTCTAGATTCATGGAGGTGTGGTGAGGGCTGTGTTAGTATCCCCAGAACACAAAGGGCCTAGATCACCAGCCTTGGATGAGTCACCTAATCTTCTCAAAGCCTCAGTTTACTCATTTATGAATGGGGATAACCCAAACTACCTTGGATTCCATGTCAGGATTAAATGTATCCTCAGTTTCACTCACACCGTATGTATAAGGATCAACCAAAAAACACGAACACCAATAGCTGGACATTCAGAAAGACCAAGTGGGACAGGGAAGGGGTACCTAAAATGGAGTTGGAGAGAAAAAGGGAGGCCACCTGACTCTAGACTAATAATCCCCTTCAGGACCCTGCTCAGGCTTTTTTGCTCCATATAATAAGAACTTTCATTTCAAAGTCTACCAGAAAGGGACTAATTTTACTTCACACCTTCACTCTTCTAAAAGGTTTTGTACAGGAAAATGGGTAAGGATCTCACTTCTGGCTCTTCTACTTACTAGCTGTGTTATCTTCTCTGAGGGCGTTTCCCAATCTATAAACTTATTCCACTGAGCTTAATAAACTTAACATTAGCTCCTTCCCTTTGAGACACCAGTGTTTCTAAAATTGAAAGGCAATAGAAAATCTATAACATAAAAGTCCCCTAAATTTTCCACTGATACATAAAGCTGCAGTTACAAAGATAAGCCCATCAGGCTTGACAGTAGATTCTGGAAACCGGAGTGCTTAAGGGAAAGGAATGCTATTGAAGGTAGAAAAGAATCTGTTGTGATGCCAGTGGAGCCCTTACTAGGCTCTGAACAGTTATCTTAGTCCTCAAAACATCTTGATAACACTCCCTTTCCCCTCCTTCTACAGATGTGGAAAAGGAAGAATCGGAAAGGAAAATAACATTTATTGTGCACTGTGCTAGATGCTTTCTACTGCATTTGATATTTACATGATTTCTCTGGATGAGAAAGCCAGAAAGTGGCAGGCAGGATTATAATACCAGATCTGATTCTAAAGCCATTGCCTTGCAGCTCAAGGGCATAATTTATGGTTCCTCAGGATCACGGTTCTTACAAAACTCAAACCCAGAATCTCATTTAGCTCTCCCCTCCACACACAATAGTTGGGGTGAGCAATTCACTTTGGAGTTTTTCAGTTTCATTCAGACTAAAGATTTCAAAGCGGGCCCACTAGCACAAAAGAACACCTTTACAACTTTGCCTAGGGTTAAAAGCTTTCTTCCCCCCTTTCCAGCCCAACCACTAGGTGGCCAAGCCATAAAGAACTGCAGCTATATACTAGGGCTCTGGAGGGATCACCCTGGTTTAGCCACTAACTGTGTGACCTTGGGTAAGTTACTTTACCTCTCTCTAAGTCTCAGTTTCCTTACATGTAAATTGGGGTAACAGTTGTATCTGTCTCATTAGATTGTGCATATTAAGTAAAACGTGACATGTAAAGCCGTCAGAACAATGCCTACGCGTAGGAAGAGCTTAACAAGATGCATAGTTTTTAATGCTTAAGAGGAAATAGCTCTTCAGTGATGGTTCTGTCGCTAAGTCCAAAGACTTAGCCAAGCCATCGGATTCTCTCTGAGCACAGGCCTTGCCAGCCAGAGTCCCTTCAGAGAGAGCAACAGGTCGCTCCTTTTCTCCTAACCAGGGCCAGGCCCACACCTGAAATCCCCAATCTACTACATACGGCCCCAAGGTCTTGGCCTGCGGTTTTCTACTACTAGGCTGTCACTCTGAGTCCAACCGAACCACCCCATTTCCGCCCGTGGCTCGGGAAGTTCTGCCGGCCTTCAGCGGCCCGGGCTGCTTACGGCATGGCTGCCCCTGGTTACGGGCCTGGAGCCGGCAAGCTTGGCGTTCCCTCACCAGAGGACTCCACTCGCGACGTAGGCAGGATCTCCCTTGAGTTCAGAGGAGACCCCGAATCCACTCAAGATGCGCGTCGGTCAAACACACGCCTGGAGAGGGCTGCCTCAACGCCGCCCTGGCCTGCCGCCGGGAGCCCGTCCCCCAGCCCCGGTCTCGGCGCAGGCCGGAGGAGCGGCCCCTTTCCAGCCCCCGGGAACGCGTGGGCTCCAGCCCTGGGCCACCACGTGGGGGCTCCAGGCGTGGCAAGGTGCTCCCGGAACCAGCCCCCGAAGACTGCTCCCGCAAGGGCCCTAGCCCGGCCCCAAACTGGCCTGAGCAGCTCCCCCGGCCTGGCTTCTCCCCTCAGACCTATTTGGAGGGGCCTCAGACATCTTCTGCAGACCGGAGACACGCTCCCACTAGACCCCAAGCCCCAGGACTGCCTCAGCTCGAGTCCCCAATTGCCTGGCGTCCTTACTCACCCATCGCGGCTCCGCTCGCTCCTACTTGGCGGCGGCAGCGGCAGCGGCGGCAGCTTCAGCGGTAGCTTCAGCAGACAATATGGCGGATCTGCAGGACGGCAGGCCGAAACGGACAAACAACTTAACATTCAACCCGGGGAAGAAACGCGCTCTCCGCCCCACAGCCTAGTTTACAGGGAGGAGCGCATTTAAAGAGACCGCAGCTACTAAAGGTGGGGAATAGGGGTGGATTAGAAGAGCAGTGAAGAGAGACTGGGGCGGGAGGCGGCGGGGAAATACTTACTAAAGAAAGTCAAGTGTGCTTAGGAATTCTCAGCTTTTTCTGCTCCTATTTCCTCTTTTATACTGAGGTCTCCTCCCCTAGAAAATTTTTCTCCTTTCGTAGTTAAAGCCAATCATAGACCCTGAGCTGGATATGAATAAGGAATCCTCTGGAGAGGGGGAAGAGAAGGCTATGGAGATAAGGAAATAGAGCTAAGAGTCAACCCGATTACAACCTTATTGGGAGATAAGTGGAAAAATAATGAGACTGGTGCAGGGCTTTATAGTTGACCGACCGATTTCGTCCTCCACCTCCACTCCTAGCAAGCTGAGGGCAGGGGTAGGTTCTGTACGTTCATCACCACATCTCCAGCACCTTGCACAGGATGTGGCACATGGTGTGTGCTCCATAAATGTTTACTGAATAAGCAACAAATGAATAGGCCTGTGACTTCCACAAAGTGAGGGATGATCTCCCTTTTTTAAGATGAGGAAATTGAGGCTAAGCGTTCATGTGCCTTTTGTAATCATGGAATTTATGATTGGTACACATCAGACCTCCCTTTTTGCATAATGACAGGCCAGTCCTGGTCCCCCGCCTCAACAAACAGGAGAAGGGTATGTCTTCAAGTCACTAGTCCCAAACAGGGAATTGTCTTTTAGAAGCTGAATGAGGGACCTGGGTTTCCAGGTTCTGTTGCAACAAATTGCCTCCTCTAGTTGTGTGTCTGGCTTGTGCCTGGCCCATTAAGGGAAACAACTCAAAAAGCCACCTCTGGAACTCAGGGTCAGGAGAGGTAGCATTATCTTTCTCTCCCTACTGCCTCTGCTCAAGATCAGACTTATTTTCTCCTGGTCTATTTTGCCTGCTACTCAGTGGTCTCCCGCCTCCAGGCTCCCCAATTGCACCGTCTCTGTAAAGCAGAGACCTTGTCAAGTTGTTCTTCTGCTTAGCAAATTCTGTCTGCCCTTTGGTAATGCCCAAACATTGCAATCTGACACACAGGCTGGTCCTTATTCACTTCTTGGGCTACTCCCCACCAGGCAACCCAGGCTCCATCCATATTCGGGGAACCCCCTTTCCCCAAGTATGCTATCTTCTTTTCTGCCTTTGCATATGCCATTTCCTCTGCTTGGAATGCAATGCCTTCCCTTCCCCCTTGACCATGGCGTGAACAAATTCACTTTCAAGACCCAATTCAACTTTCCCCTTCCTGAAAAACTCTCTTTCCAGACTGGGTATCTGTCCTCTCTGCTCCCCAGTTTGGGTATCTGTCCTCTCTGCTCCCCAGGGCCCTGGACACACATTTTCCTCAGCTAAAATGTAGCATCCTAATGTGCTCACAAGTTCTCTCTCCTGGTTGTCTAAGGGACAGCATCTTCCTCATCTTTGTATCTGTCCCATGCCTAGCATGATGCCTTCCTCACCAGAGACACCAAAAACTTTTGTTGCAGTGTCTCCCATACACCACCACAGACTCATCTGCATATCCTGTGGCCAACAAGGGCTCAGTGAACACAAGCAGAGTAGATGAGTGGCTAGGACCGTCCTTTTCTCCCAGCCTGAGCCCTCCAGCCTGTCTTATAGGAGCCAGGGGGCTCTCCAAGCAGCTTTGTTTCCACTCTAGCACTTGGCCTCGCTTACACTCTCTCCCTCGCCTAGAGCTATTGGTCCTTCCTGACCCATCACCTCCCTGCAGACCCACCCCATCCCCACCCTATGTTCCTTATCCTTCCTGTTCTAGGAACCATTCTGCTTACCCTCCCCAAATATACCAGGATGTTCCAAATCTCTGTGCTATTCCATATGTCCTTTCCTCTGCTTGAAGTGCCTTTCCCCCATTTTGTCCACCTAGGAAGTGGCTGACAACTCAGACTATCCCCGCCTCCAAGAAGTCCAGAGAGCATTAAACATTCTCTCCTGTGCTACTCTGTATCTTCTAACTGTTATACCCATCCCAGTGTAGTATGACTTTTTTGTTTCTGTGTCTGGACATCCTATACCACAGCACCTGACACAGAGCAGGGTCTCAGTGACTGCATGCTGGGAGAATCAGGACATCACATTCTGCTAGGATAGTGGTGTTGTCTTTTGGGAGGGTTTCTTGACTACTGTGTTGTCTTTGGCAAGTCACTATAGTTCTCTGAGCTTGTTCTTCATCTATAGAATTGGAATGACAGCACCTACCTCCTAGGGTTGTCATAAAAGTTGGATTGAGACAGGCCTATAATGCACGTAAGATTAATGTCCAGTACACAGCATTCAGCCATCAGTAGCTACCACTGTTACCATGACCTCTGGTGCCTCATCTCTTCTCTACTGGAGAAGGCAGGACCCATACGGGCCCCAGAAGCCACACATGGGGCTTCCTGGCCCAGAATCCTAACCTCTAATATCTGCTCTCTACCTGATAGGCAAGAAGAAGGGAAAGAAACAAAGGACACACAGGCTTAATGGGAGTATAAAAATAGGACTTTTTTCCCCCCCCATAATCACATCAATTATCAAAGAAACAAACAGTATGTAACAAAAATACAAAGCTCTGGTGAATTTTTTTGTCTGTTTTTGTGGGGTTTTTTGCCCCTCACCCAACCCTCCCCAACTGCCCCTTCCCAGAGAGCCCCTGGCTGAAGCCTGGATGCTGTCCCTGGGGTCACCCTGGGGCTTAGGAGAACCGGTGGTCCAGGTCCCTCTGGGGGCTGGCCGAGTAGGAGTAGGCCTTGCCCAATACCAAGCGGTCCCGCAGCAGCTTGAAGAAGGCATAGTAGTTGCTGAAGAGGATGAGCGCCAGGGAGATCGTCTGGTGCCACTTTTCAGAAGACATTAAGGAGTATAGCTGGTAGACAATGACAGCACCCTCCAGCAGCAGAAGGATGTTGAGGATCCGCAGGGGTTTGCTGAAAAAGAACTGCCCAGGAAAGGGTAGGCAGGGACTAGAAAGTATGTTCCAGAAACCTGCCTCCTGGATGGGGGTTCTGGGGGGGCCAGTGAAGGGGATAGGCTCTTGGGGCCCCATGCAGACGTGGGTGGGGACTCTGCCACCCTCTCTGCTTTTGCTTATGGTCTTTCTTCTGTCAAGACTACTGTTTGGGCGCCTGGGTGGCTCAGTCGTTAAGCAACTGCCTTCGGCTCAGGTCATGATCCCAGGGTCCTGGGATCGAGCCCCTGCATCGGGCTCTCTGCTCAGTGGGGAGCCTGCTTCTCCCTCTCCCACTTCCCCTGCTTGTGTTCCCTCTCTCACTGTATCTCTCTCTGTCAAATAAATAAATAAAATGTTAAAAAAAAAAAAAGACTACTGTTTCCCACAGAAGTTAAGATCTTGTTGAACTTCTACCTTCCTCTAGGAAGCTTTTCTTGAGAGATCTTGCTTGCTCACTCAAACTTTTTCTGGTCTACAATCAACACCTTTTTATATGTGATCCTCCTGGCTACAGCCTGGACCGAACAAATTAGAATCTTATGACATAGATATGGAAAGTTATTATAGACTCTACAGTCTGAGTCACCCACTTCTTCATGGGTAGCATCCCAACCTAGGCCAGAAGCTTTCAGGGCATGTGGTGACACCTCACTCTGACGTGAATATTTACAAAGCAGGGTAGAGTGCAGGGACTCAAGAATGTTTTGATCAGTTTCAAAGAGTGATCAAGATCTAGGGAATCTCAATTCTTCAGGGGCCAAGGTAACTAAACCTCAAAAGCTGCTTACAGGATGGGAAGAGACATGGCAGGAAATAGGAGTCCAAGAAACCAGCACGCTCAGGCTCAGCTCTGCACCTGACAGCCTGCAGGACCCTGGGCAAGTCCCTTTCCTGTCTGGGCCTCAGGTTTCTCTACTGTGAAGAGATCACCCAGATCAATTTCTCAAACTGTGTTCCTTGGAAGCCCAGGATCTGAGGAGGCCCCTTTGGGGCCTAAGGCAGTGGTGAGTGGGAAGTGAAGGGAGTCCCAACCCTTTCAAACAGAGCGGTGCCATGAGGTCCTATATACCAGACTTTAGTCTATGACTGTGTTGGAAAAAAGAATTTTGATAGCAAGATAAGTAAATAAAATGGAGACCACTAGCCTCAGCGATTCTGAGCAGCTCTTTTCATAATGCTGAGTCCATGAGTCCTTACTATCAGACCCCAAGGTTCCCAGCAAGGCACCCTTGAACAAGTCAGACCCTAAGCCAATTTCAGTCTCAGAAAATGGCAACAGCCCTGGCACTTCTCTCACGCGCAGGGTGAAGGCTGAATGGAGGGTGTGTGGCAGGTGCTTACCACTGTGCCCGGCACACCATATGTATGAGGATAGTTATGGTTTTTGCTCCTAAGAACCCCTCCTTTTATGGCGTCATCTTTCCCTCCTCCCCCCGTTTTCAAAGATCTGCTATAGCAAGTGAACTGCAGTTATGGAATCACCGTTTGTATGGCTGTCCTGTGCTGCACATGTGGGGTTTCCTTTGGATTGGAGAAATACTGTAAATAGCTTTCTGTCGCTAGGACGTCACCCTCCTGCCTTGGGATCCTCCCTGCTTGAGATCAGGCCCTGCCCCTCCTTCCCAGGGGAGGAGACTCACGTGGAAGCGGAAGTGGGAGACGTCCGAGGGGATGGCCACGTTGTAGTGGCCCACGGCTTTGTAGACGTTCTTGCTGTGCTTCACCAGCACGCCCTGTGGCCACATGCATTCTTCCGTCCACCTGGAGGCACAGCCCAACAGTGCCCCTTACACCCAGCTCACCCACAAAAGGGGCTACCAGCAGACTGGGCCTGGTGTGACCACCAGGGCCCGATTCCCATTTCTATCATTTAGACACAGTGACTTTCCTTTCCTGGGTCTCAGGTGCCTCCTCTGTAAAAATGGGGTAAGAATCATGAGAAATTCATGGGAGTCAGAAGGTCTAAGGTTGAGATTCAGGTCTGAGGGGCTGTTAAGAAAACGCTTTTCCCTTTCAGGTGCATTTTCTTTCTTTCTTTTTTATTTATTTATTTGAGAGAGAGAGAGAGAGAGAGCAGGAGCAGGGGAGGGGCAAAGGGAGAAGGAGAGGCAGACTTCCCGCTGAGCAGGGAGCCCGACTCGGCCTCGATCCCAGGACCCTGAGATCATGACCCAAGCCGAAAGCAGACACCCAACTGACTGAGCCACCCGGGAGCCCTGCATTTTCCTCACCTACTCTCACCTCTAGCCTCCAATTGGTCCAATGCACAGCTGCCTGAGTGGTCTTTGTAAAACACCAAGCTGAGCCTATTTTCCACTCAAAACCCTCGGAAGCGTTTTCAGTGCCCTTGGAGTCAAGTCCCTAAGGATTCGCTGTGGCCTCTGAGGCCCTGTGTGGACTTTCAGGACTCTGGCCGCATAGCTTGTGCTCAAGCCATTCCCAGCGATTTCTAGTTCTCCAGCACAGCCTACGGTTTCATGTCTCTGTGTAAGTCACTCCCTCCAACTGGACTGCCCTTCCTGATGCCGTATCCTTCTGGCAAGCTCTTTTAAAACTCGGGATCCTCCAGAAAGCCTTTCTCAAACTCCCCACAGAGTTCAGCCTCCTTCAACAGCAACCTGAATCTCCTACTACTGGTCCACTTTCCCCAGTGTTTCGTCACTTATTTCCTTGTGTCCCTCACTCCTTGAGGGAAGGGTGGTGTCCATTTTATCTCTATGTCCTCAGAGCACGGCACAAGGCCTGGCACAGAGAGGCCTCAGTGAGCATGTGAGTGGGATGGTACGTTCTTCCAATTCTGCCACATCTCCCAGGGACTCCAAGGGTCCTGGGCCAGAGGACAGAGTATCACAAAAAACTCTAACTCATGTTCCTACCTTGTTGATTCATTCATTTAAAAACCAGTTATCAGGGTACCTGGGTGGCTCAGTCGGTTAAGCATCTGACTCCTAGTTTTGGCTCGGGTCCTGATCTCATGGCTCATGAGAGAAATGTCAGGTTCCAAGCTCAGTGGGAGTCTGCTTGGATATCCTCCCCCACTTCCCCTCCCCTGCTCATGTGCACTCTCTCTTCATCTCTCTCTCAAATACATATGTAAATCTTTTTTTAAAAAAATTAAAAAACTAGTTATCATGTTATATCTAACAACATGGATGAACTTCACAGGCAATATGCTGAATGACAAAGAAACTGAACCCAAGATTTCATTTATGTGAGGTTGTGGTTAGTTTTGAAAGAAAATAGAAAAATGGTTGTCTGGGTGGTGGTGGTAAGTGGGGGGCAGTCTTTGGGAAGAGCCAAGAGGAAATTTCCTGAGAGGCTCTAAATGTTCTACATCTTGTTCTATCTATACGTGGGGGTGCAGGTCTGCCTACATATGGGGGTACAGGCAGGCCTACCTCCACAAGGGGGTACAGGTCTACCTATACATGGGTGTACAGGACTATCAAAACTCAAAGAATTGTACACTTTAAGATTTATGCATTTCAGACTTTTAACTCTAGGAAACAAACCAAGGGTTGCTGGAGGGGACGTGGGTGGGGAGATGGGGTAACTGGGTGATGGGCATTAAGTAGGGCACTGAGTGTTATATGCTACTGATGAATCACCAAATTCTACCTCTGAAACTAATAATACACTATATGTTAATTAAACTGAATTTAAATTAAATTAAAAAAAAGATTTGTGCATTTCACCGCATAAAAATTTTATCTTAAAAAAAGACTAGACACAAACCACAAAAATTTACTGTGGACCTATTTTAAGCCAGGCACTCTGCCAGGAGTGAGATGGCTGAGTGCTTGACAGGCAAGGACCCTGACCTCCAGGAGCTTTAGTCCTGGAATAACAGGCAAGTAATTGAGCAAACAGAGCAGAAAGAGTTAGGTGCAATGATCATGATATTATGGGATTGTGGGAGCACGGGGTAGGGGGCACTGAACCTATCCTGGGTGGAGAGAAAAGTGTTCCTGGAGAAAGCAAACTGCTAAAGGATGCATAGCAATTAATCAGGAAAAGAAAGGTGCAAAGGGTGTTCTAGGCAAAACAAGCATCATGTGCCAAAGCCTGGATACAAACATGGATACAGAATTTGAGGATCCAAAGCGGTCTGGTCTGGCCAGAGCAGAGTATGAACAGGGAAGGCATGGTCAGAGAGGAGGCAGAAAAGGCTGGGAGGGCCCAGTTCAGCAGCTAGGAAGCCATGCGAAGGAGCCTGGGTCTTCTCTGTGGACCATGGTGAGCTATGGACAGGTTTCTCCTCATGTTCACCTATATTCTAGCTTTCTACTCCTCCCTCCCTTCAGAGGCTAAGGCTAAGCCGAGTCCCCTTTAGGCCCATTTGGCAATGTCTAGCCCCTTCCCTCGACCACTTGGACAGAGCCTGGGAGGGACCCTGACTAGCATGGAGGGCTATGTGACCCCAAAGGTTATGCTCCTGACCACAGTTCTCCAAGTTATCTTACTTAACCTTACCCCAGGGAAGATGGTAGCATCCCTGTTTTATAGACCAGAAAGCAAAAACCCAAAAGGGCCAACTGCTTACCCAAGGACGCTCATGTATCCCTTCTTGGAACATCAGAAAAAAGTTACTACTGATAAGAAAATGTAGCATTCTCATTGGCCCTAACTCCTGGGGGCAGCCAAGGGACCTTTCTGGGGCTGTGTCTGAGGACCTGGGGAAATGGATAAGCCCCAAGCTAAAAGAAGGAATGTCTGTAAATAGCACCTACTACAATGTTCCATGGACTGTCCTAGGCATTTAGCTACTTTTCCTCTATCATCTACCTACCTACCTACCTACCTATCTATGTAAAGTAATCTCTATGTCCAACGTGGGGCTTGAACTCACAACCCCCAGATCAAGAGTCACATGCTCTACTGACTGAGCCAGCCAGGCGTCTCTGTGGCCTCCCTTTGCATCTCTGCTTCTTGATGGACCTACCTCTACAAACCTGTCCTAGGGGCCTCTTCTCTGCCACACCTTGTGCTGGGCCCGAGGCTCAGAGGTGATTCAGGAGGGCCCAGACTTGAAGAGCTTCCAGTCTAATGGGGGGATAAAGGCAGGAAAAAATGAGGGTAACCTGGGTGAAAAGTACTGTGAGGATGGCACCATGAAGGATGAGCCAGGCTGAGGGGACGCTGGGCTCCTGAGCAGGGGCTTCTGTCTCTGCAGTGCTGTCCTGCAGCCAGGCTTCCTTCTTCCCATCATCCTATAACCATTTGTGTTCGCGGCTGTCACCCGCACCAGACTGACCTCCTCTAGGACCTCGTCTTGGTCATTCTCTCTTTGTGACTCTGCTTCCCTGGCCAGGGTTCTCCATCGGCTAACATGGCACCCTATCCTCTGCCCAGACTGATGATTCTGAGGCACCTTGGAATGGGTTCCTCTACTGTTCCAAAGCCTCCATAGCCCCCCTCTGCCTGTAGGTCAAAGTCCAAGCTCCTCTGTCCAAGGCATAGCACCAGGCCGGGTATGGCTTCAGAAGTAAACGTCTGCCGGAAAGGAGGTAACCTAATAACTGAACGGATGAGTGAGCAGGTAACAGAAGGAGAGAAGCAATGAATGAAGGCAAGAGCAAATTGGTCTGTGAGCTGCGTAAGTAATAGTCAGTGAATGAGAAAGTCAACGAGTCTATGAATTTACTGCCTGGCCTTCCCCCATCTCCAGCACACTGCAAGTTACCTAAGCACAGGGGACACGTCTGCCTGGGGCCCAGCCATACTCCATTCTGGCCGCAAGGCCTAGCTTACAAGATGTGCTCAACAACCATCTGCCAACTAAATGCATGAGCTGGTGAGGGAGAAGGCCCGTGGCTCTGCAGACATGGACCACGAGGGCTGGGGTTGGGCAGGGACGTGGAGGGCAACTCACGGGTGCTGCAGCACGTTGGAGCACAGCGCTGGGTCCACCTTCTGCCAGCAGCCCAGGTGGGCAGCGGCCTTGTGCAGGAGGTCACAGTAGCTGGCGGGCAGCAGGTGCTGCATGAGGATCACTGAGGTGCTGACGGACACCAGCAGGAAGAGCTCACAGGACCAGCGCTTGTCATAGTAATGTGTGTTCTGGGGGCAGCAGGAGATGGGTAAGGCCTGGGATGCCCAGAATGGCCTCACCCCCTCCCCTTTCCGCGATTCGATCTGCTTTAGAAACCAGGGCAGCCTTCCAGGGGGCCTGAGACCAAGGATCAAACACCTAACAAAGAGGGCTTAATCATGGACCTAGACCCTGTGCCCACTACTCAGTTCTCTATAAGCTCCTCTTACAGCAAAACTGCTCCCACTGCCTACCACTCCGAGCCAGAGTACAGGCTCTGGGGTCCAAAAGACATGAGTTCAAATCTTGGCTCTGTTCGTTATTAACTACGTGACGCTGGGCAAGTCATCTCACTTCTCTGTGCTCTAGCTTTCTTTTCTGTTACGTTGTAAGAACAGCTACCAAGCACCTCTGAGAGGTGGCAGGAGGATTATTACACTCCTGAAAGCTCTAGCACATTGTAGGTGCTCAAGAAACATTAAGTCCTCTCAGCCTCGAATCATTCAGTGCAGTCCACCCCTGGAGAAATGTTTCAAGCCTACTGGCTGCCGGGGAGGTACCTTCCCAGAAGGCCATACAAGCTGGAGAGAAAGCACAGGCTTTTGGAGTTGCTCGGGTCTGGATGAGTCCTGGCTTTCCTACTTCATGATACAGCTGCACATCGTGACAGGCCTGGGCCAAAACAGCCCTAGTGAAATACACCACTGCTTTCTGTTATCGAGTATTATGAACAACAATGTCCTGTCCCCCTCACTGGCTGGGTGACCTCGTGCAGGCCACGCCCTCTCAGTGAGCCTTGTTCTCTCCACTCTAAAATTGAGGCAGTCATGGGCGCCTGGGTGGCTCAGTCGTTAAGTGTCTGCCTTCGGCTCAGGTCATGGTCCCAGGGTCCTGGGATCGAGCCCCGCATCGGGCTCCCTGCTCGGCGGGAAGCCTGCTTCTCCCTCTCCCACTACCCCCTGCTTGTGTTCCCTCTCTCACTGTGAATCTCTCTGTCAAATAAATAAATAAAATCTTAAAAAATAAAATAAAATAAAATAAAATCGAAGTAGTCGTTACTCTAGCCCTCAAGAGAACAGATGGGAATCTTATCAACAGCGGCCCAGTTATTCATGCAAGCAGGAGGGCTCCTGTGGGGCAGGCAGCAGGGTAAGGCCCCAGGCAGGCCCTTTGCCCCCCTGGGTTGAGCTACGCACCTTCACGAACCAGACAGGCACAAAGGCCACATAATAGGCGCTCAGCATGGAGCTGACCAGCACTTCCTTCATGCGCCAGTTGAAGTCCATCTTGAGGAACTCCACCTCGCTGCGGATGAGACTGGGGGACAGGCAGCAAGCGTGTGTGGGCATGGCGTCTGGCCCATACAGCTGCCGTGTGTGCTGCTTCCACGTCTCCCTCAGCGTCAGCAGGTAGTCCCGGCTCCGCGCCAGGCCACTCACTGCCTCCCGGGGACCCATGGAGGCCATGTGGCTGAAGAGGTTCGTCTTGCGGAGGTCACAGTTCAGCTGCAGGAACGGAATGTACATCCCAAACCTGCTGGGGAAGACAATGGTGAGGGGGAGGCCTGCCCGTGGGCCACGATCCCCACCCTTACCCATGGAAGGACTCTTCTTTCCTCCCTGGGCTTTAGCTCTCCCGGCTACTCAGAGGGGAGAATGTACCCATCCTTCTATCCAGCCATCCTTTGATCAGTCAACATAGGTTATCAGCATCGAGTGCAGGCCAAGCACTGTGCTGAGCATCAGGGACAAAGTAGGAAGCAGGAGCTGAGGCCCTGCCTCATGGTCTACTGCTGACTAACAGTGATCCTAACAGCCCACGTTCACTGGGCACACACAATGCTCTAGACACCGTACTAAGCGCTTTACACGTGTTCTCTTCTTTTGCTTCTCCTAAGAACCCTATGCATTCCGTACTATTATTTTGTACCCCCTTTGAAGAAGCTGTGGCTCAGAGAGGTGAAGTGGATTTCCTAAAGGTTATCCAACCAGTAAGAAAGCAAAAGAGCCTGGATTCAAACCCAGAACTATCTGGTACCAAAGACCAAGACACATACTCAACAAACACCATGAATAATTAATTAGTTAAAAATGTACAAGGGGTGCCTGGCTGACTCAGTCGGAGAAGCGGGTGGCTCTTGATCTCGGGGGTCATGAGTTTAAGCCCCACACTGAACACAGAGATTACTTAAAAAGTAATGTACGTGGTACCACAAGGCAGGTCTAAGTTGTGACAGCTGCGTACTCAAGAGGCAGCTCTTCAGCTTGTGGAGAAAGGAGGTTCAGGAACAGTATTTATTGTGTGCCTATTATGTGCCTGGCACTGAAATGGGCACCCCCCCCTTTTTTAAAGATTTTATTTATTTGACAGAGAGAGAAAGGAAAGCACAAGTAGGGGGAGTGGCAGGCAGAGGGAGAAGCAGGCTTCCCGCCGAGCAGGGAGCCCGATGCGGGGCTCAATCCCAGGACCCTGGGATCATGACCTCAGCCGAAGGCAGACGCTTAACAGAGCCACCCAGGCGCCCCTGAAATGGGCCCTTGAACAATACAAGTCCCTTTCCCTGAGCAGTACCCCTAGGGCTGGAGCTAATTAGTCAAGGGGTGTTTTGAGTACATGACTAGCATCTTTTGAGGAGAAAACTAGGTGGACCCAAAGCCCAGGAAGGTAGATAATTATAAAAAAGTAGTTAAGAGCCAGGATGCCTGGCTGGCTCAGTTGGTGGAGCATGTGACTCTCGATCTGGGGGTTGTGAGTTCGAGCCCCACATTGGGCACAGAGATGACTTTAAACAAAAACAAACACATAAATAAATAAGTAAGTAAGTAAGGGGGGGAAGTGGCTAAATGCCTAGCACGGTCCATGGAACATTGTAGTAGATGCTATTTATAGACATTCCTTCTTTTAGCTTAGGGCTTATCCATTTCCCCGGGTCCTCAGACACAGCCCCAAAAGGGTCCCTTGGCTGCCCCCAGGAGTTAGGGCCAATGAGAATGCTACATTTTCTTATCAGTAGTAACTTTTTTCTTCCTTTTTTTTTCTGATGTTCCAAGAAGGGATACATGAGCGTCCTTGGGTAAGCAGTTGGCCTTTTTGGGTTTTTGCTTTCTGGTCTATAAAACAGGGATGCTACCATCTTCCCTGGGGTAAGGTTAAGTAAGATAACTTGGAGAACTGTGGTCAGGAGCATAACCTTTGGTCAAATAGGCCAGGATTAAAATCCCAGCTCTGCTACTTACTAGTACTATAATTTAGGGTAAGTTATTTAACCTCTATGAGCCTCAGTTTCCTTAACGTGCCCTAAGTTACATAGCTCGTATTGATTCTCTACACTCAGACAGGCATTACACGTAGTGTTTTCATAAATACTTTCTTTAAACCTTGCAACAACACTCATCACGGTGCTTGATTCAAAGTACAAGACTCATAAAATTTCGTTTAGAAAAGAGAGACCAGTGATTCTGTGGGACAGAAAAGATGACTGAAATGGGATTCCCACAACACTCTTCAGGACGCCTTGTGGGAATGAAGGAGTGGGGCACCTACAGGAACATACAAGGGATTCAGACCCAAACTTATGGCCAAGTACTTAAGAATCTCCCTGGTTTTGCCTCTAAGAAGGACTGCAGATATAATTAAATTATTTGGTGACAGCAAGTAACTGCTCCACAAATCACAAGTTAGAAACTATTTCACATGCAAGACAGCAGATTCCCTCTCATCTTCTCCACTCAAGACGTAACGGTATGAAAGTAGAAAATAAATTCATATCAGCAAAAAGAATGGGAGTGGGGTTATCAGTTCACAAGTGATTTTGACAAATTTAGAAAGCAGATGGAAACATGTTAACAGATGAGGAAGGAAGCCATCATCTAGAGCAGTGCTGTCCAACAGAAATATAATGAGTATCACACATGTACTTTGAAATTTTCTGGTAGCCACATGGAAAAAAAATATGAAGTTAATTTTAATACTCTAGTTTACTCAACCCAATATATGCAAAACATTATCATTTCAACACTTAATCATTATTTACAAATGAAATTTTTACTTTTTTTTTGAAGATTTTATTTTAGAGAGAGAGAGAAAAACGAGCATGCACAGGAGTTCATGTGAGGAGGGGGAGGGGCAGAGGGAAAGGCAGAGAATCTGAAGCAGACTCCACGCTGAACGCGGAGCCCCACGCAGGGCTTAATCTTACAACCCTGAGATCATGACCTGAACCAAAGCCAAGAGTCAGGTGTTTAACCGACTGAGCCACCCAGGCACCCCTACTTTCTTTTTTTGTACTAAGTCTTCAGAATCTGATGTTTATTTCACACTTACAACACACTGAAGTGAAAGAGGCAAACTAGCCTCTTTCGAATGTTCAATAACAACAGGTGGCTAGAAGCTGCTAAACTGGATGGCGTGGGTCTAGAATATGCTATGAGAGGACTGCACTGGGGGTAGGAGCTTATCTGCCTAGTGACCCAAGAGAGACTCTGACTTGAAGTAGGCACAGCTGATAAAGGGTAGAAGCAAGCAGCAGGACTGAACAAATGGGATTAAACAAAGATCTGTATTTATTTGTAAAAGTCAGTCCCTTTATTCTCTTACCTCATACAACCTACCCTGAAGGATTCTTAGATAAAAAAATTGAATAAACTGTCTAGAGAGAACTGTGGTCTCTAATGGGAGCACCTTAGAGTAACCCCCTCACTCTGGCTTCTGGCCTATGGAGGCCCACAACCTGACAACTAGCACCGCACTTTCTCATCCTAAAGCAAAGTCTGCCAGTCAGTGTGTCCTGCTCATGTACTTAGAATTCCTAGTCAAACCTCCCACTCACATATATAATGGCAGAGGGAGAGGAAGTGCACTGCAATTATTCAGTCCTTCATTTGTCAGTGTAAAGAGACAACCAAAGAAACGAACTATGCTTAGAAAACTAGCAGCATGAAACAAAAAACTGACCCCAGTGGAAATACAAAATTGAGGGAACAGAAGAGATTTTTAAAACAAGAACAGAATGCTATGAGAAAAGAACAATCAGGAAATAAGAGGTCTTGGAGATGAAAAATATGATTGCTAAAAAACTCAATAAAAAAGCTGAAAGATAAAGTTGAGGAAATCTTCCTAAAGGCAAAGTAAAAAGAGAGAGCAAAGAAAGACAGAGGGGGGAGAGAGAGATAGAGACAGAGAGAAAGAAAGATGGGGGGAGGGGGAGGGAGAAAGGGAGGGAGAGATGAAAAATATGAGAGAAAATATAAGAGAAACAGATGATCAATCTATGAGGTCTACTACCTGATAAACAGAAGCCCCACAGAGAATAGAAAAAATAGAAGGGAAGATATTATCGAAGAAATAATAAGAGAACATCTTCCTGATCTGAAGATATACCCAAATCTCCAGGTTAAAAGAGTCCTAGAGTACTGATAAGATGAATGACAAAAGTCCCACACCAGACGCCTCCTTGTGAAATTTCAATAATCAAAAGATAAACAGGACATCTCTAAAAGTTTTCAGAAAGGAAAAAAACAAGTCATCCACAAAGTAACTGGAATCAAAGTGGCATCAGACTCCTCATTAGAAACATAGGATGCTAGAGACAATGGAGTAATACCTTCAAACTTCTGAGAGAATATGAATTTGAACTTAGAAATCTACATTAGCTGAACCATCAATCAAGTATGAGGGCAGAATAAGGACATTTTTAGACATGCAAGGCCTCAGAATGTATATACCTCCCACATACCCATTGTTAAGGAAATTACCTGATAATGCACTCCAGCAAAATAAGAGGAAGAGGAAGAAAGAGGAAGACATGGGATCCAGGAAACAGTGGATCCAACCCAGGAGGGCAGCGAAGGGAAGTCCCAGGCTGAGAGCTGTACAGCAGGCCTAAAGAACAACCACTCCAGACTGGAGCAGGAGGATGGAAGGCTCCAGGAGGGATGTCTTTAGGGGGAAAAATGGACTCCAGGCAACAGGTAGCATGACTGAGAGGCTGGATAAACTGGAGGATATGTTGAAGGCCCATCATTCTTTTGTCAACAAGAAAAAAGAAAGGCAATTAGAACTCCAAGAAAAAAAAAAAGGCTGTATAAGAAAGTTACAATCTAAATATGAAGCAAACTAAAATGTGACATGATATTAAGCAATTGATGGAATGTAAGAAAAGAGAAACCATTTGACCTTGACAGAGGAACTTTCTTTTTTTAAGAGGCCCAAGATTAAAACTCACTAACTATAGAGAAGGAATATCATCTATGCACACTACTCGGCCCTGAGGTGAACAATATTTTCGTTACTCCTAATAACATCAAGACTACTTACTGCTTTTTGTTTTTAGAATTAACCTTAGACAAAGAATGGAAGACTTAAGTGTGGTTATATAGGAGAATATGAATGTCAAGCTTAATATATAAAACTATAGCTGCCAGGAAGTGAGAGGAGGAAGAGGGGAGGAAAAGTGGATGTGTAGCGTTCCTAATATTACCGTCTACATAAAAGGGATTAAGATACTATTGTTGATGAAATAAAAAACACAGGCATACTGACATTACTGGAATAGAGAATAATAATAACAGTTATACTGGGAATGGTATGGATGGAAGGGTGAACTAAGTAAATCTTCATCTGTCATTGAAGGGAATCAATGAAAGTGTGCATGTATGTGTGTATGATAGGCTTGTATATGCATAAAACACTTATTACCAGGATATATGAGAAACCAGAAATATTGGTAGTTGCCTCTTGGAAGGGAAACTGGGCAGCTAACAGACAGGAGCCGAGGAGAGACTTTTTCATTCTATATTCTTTACACATTTTGAATGTATACATTTTACACATATTTATACATTTTGAATTTTAATTCTGTAAACCTATTATCCAACTATAAAATCAATCATATGTTTTTAAAAGGAATAAAGGCACAAGGATACTAGAATTATGGGGGTAACTCAAAAAACAGTGAAAGCCAGAAACAGTGAAGGAGATTGCTTTGGAGGAGTGGGACTAAAAAGCTGAAAAGTGGGGTTGGAGGCTGCTTTTCATCATAAGCTTTTTAGCACTCCTGGATTGATTTGTTAGTCTATGCCTGCCTTACGTTAATAAAAAGTTATAAATGAAATAAAAAAATAAAGCAAAATATGACTACTGGGTGATACCTGTATCCGAGGAGAATGGATTCACTGGATAGTAACCACAAGGTGAAAAAATTAAGGCAACTGTTGACGGCTCTAACCAGTACAACCCCTGAAGGGTCATTTGTTAATATCCATGGACTGCACTTTTCGGTACAGTAATTCTACTTCTGGGAATCTGTTGTACAGAACTATTGGACAAGTGGTCAAAGGTGTACGCAAAAGAAGGTTCCCTACCTCATTGTCTCCAATAGGGAAAAGCCAGGAACACCTCAAAAGGCCACCAATACATCAAAAACTAATGATGTAATGTATGGTGGTTAACATAACAATAAAAAAAATTATTAAAAAAAAGGCCACCAATAGAAGGCAAATACAACAACTGTGAAAAATCTATATAATGGAATACTATGAGGCCGTTAAAAAAATGAGGCAGACCTGTATGTATTGCCATAGAAAAATACCCAAGTTATAGGATTATGCGAAAAATGTAGTAAATTGTACAGCATCATGCATAGATTAATCCCTTTTTGTTAAAAAAAAAAAGTGTATGTGAGTATGCTTGAACAGAAAAAATTTGGGAGGATATGCTGCAAATAATGGTTTTCTGGAGGACTGATATTAAAGAGGACTTTCATTTTCTACGTTAAAAGCTTCTGTAAAGTTCAATGTTTTTATAAGACACGTGTCACTCTTACAATTAAAAATTAGTAATAACTGAAACAAGTGTGATGGGTCTCCTCCCATGACAGCACCCTTTTAGTCATGCAGGGTAGAGAGGGATGAGTATCTGGCTCTGAAGCTTCCCAGGACAGAGAACTGGCCCAGCCTGAGGAAATTCATGAACCAGAAAGCTCCGGGGTTGGGAAATGACTGTAAATGCCCAGGGAGCCAAGAGCCTGCACCAGGAACAGCCAGAATGGACGTCTTGCCAAAGTTCTCCCCAGTTCTAGGCCAGAAGGGGGCAGTCCTGGGTTCCTCCCAGACAGGATCTTCCCATCCTCAACAATCTGAGCTCTGGTGAGATGGAGTGAGTGAACAAACAGACATGAAGACTGACATACATACGTGGCATGTGCAGGTACACCCGCCCCCCCACATTTCATGCACAGACACCCACACAGAAACATTTCCACACGCAGGTGCTTGCATGCACACAGACCTGGGGGAGGCACTGAGAGATTACATAAACACTAAGATACAAAAAAAGAAAGAACCAGAGAGAAAAGGAAAGGAGAGGGAGACGAAGCCCATGCATCCCCATCAGGAACGTTCCTTTGGCATATACGTTCAGATCTGAGTCCCATTCTGACCTCCCCATTGGTGGCACCTAGGATAAATTATGCCTGCTCTCTCAGTTTCTGCTCTTGCAAAAGAAAGCTAACCCTCTTGTTCTCAGGGGGATGCTGTCAGACAGTGTGGGAGGATATTATTGCTGCCCTGCCCTGAGTCTTCCAGGTACGGGGGCCTGCTGACCCAGCCACACTCAGGGCAGAGGTCAGGAGCTGGGTGCTAGGCAGTGAGGGGGTGAAGTGAGGGGTACTCACGGATAGCAGAGGAACAGGAGGTTCAGGAAGGAGTAGGTCCTGAAGAGGTGGATGAGGGAGCGGCACAGACTCCAGCCTGTTGCCGTGAGAACGGTGAAGCGGGTGAGGAACAGCAGGATGGAGCGAAAGAGGGAGACCTTCCCCCTCTGAGAAGCCTGGGTCAGGGCGAGATAGGACGGGATGGGGCCTTGGATGGAGGCCACCGGGGCTGTGCCCACATCCCACCCAGCATGGCCTGTGATCCCACCCAGGGAAACGTGGGGCAGCAGGCTGGGCTGGTGAACCTGGCAAAGTGAATCCTTTTCCTCGATGCCCCGTAAACTCCAAGAGTGATGGGATGTAATGTTCTCCAACCAAGTTCAAAGGGAGCCCCAAGGAACTGCCTGAGGCTTGAAGGGCTTGGAATGTTTTCTTGGTACCCCCAGGGGAAAGGGGAGTCCCAAAGTCCCCGGCGAGCCTCTGGGACCCAATCACCTCCTTCACGATGGACCCAATGAAGCGGCGGCCCAGAACGATGGTGGTCACCATCAGCAAGTTGAAGTCGATCAGGTGGAAATTCTGTCAGGGGTGGGCAGAGGCTGGGGGTCACGTGGGCCCCCTGCCCATGTACGGGCTTTTTTCATCCCTACCTCCCCCTGCCAAGTCCTTTCCACAGGGACTGTCCCCACTCTCTGACCTTCACAGGCCTCCAGCTGAATCAGGCCAGGAAATTACCTAGAGGAGCAGAACAGGACCGAGAGGAGGGAAGTGGGACAGTCCCTGGAGATAACAGAGTGGTGTGTGAGCCCTCTTGCTCTGATCACCCGTGCCCCTGTCCCTGCACCTCTTTCTGGGCATGGAGATCTTTCCACTCCTGAAACTCATGTATGCCCGTGGCTCTTCTCCCCGACAGGACTTAAGATTCTGTGCTCTTTTAGGCAACATCTGTCAGATTTACCTCTGCTACCTTTCAAATGCCTAACACGGTACTGGCAATCAGGGGTGAGCGTTCAGGAGTCATTTGCTTCCTGTTCCTTCCACACTCTCCATTTCCAGCGTGAGGCCAAGTGTACAGGTCACTTGGTAAGCTGGGTTAAACTGAAACCAAATGTCACACACACATACACACACACACAGGTGGTCCTAGCTGGGAACCTACCAGGGAGGTGTGGGAGGGTGGGTGGGAGGGTGGATACCACCACACTGTCTTGTAGATGTTGATGTAGTGAACGAAGAGGGCTATGAGCTGGCAGAAGAAGAGCTGCAACTCAAACAGAATGCTGGCCTGGACTGGCAGTTCGGGGATCTTGCAGTGCTGGAGGGGCACAACCGTCTGGGTGGCCAGTGGCGGGCTGGAGAGGCCCGTCCCAGAACTGCTCCTGGGAGGTGGGTAGGGAAAAACAACAGCAGCTGACCTGAGAATCCCACCAAGAAGCCCTTCCAGGACACAGGGTAGTGGGGTTGGATCAGCAAAGCAGCTCCTGGCAAGGATGGGAGTCCTCCTAATCCTGCCTGTCAGACAAAGGAGCCAACAGAGCCTTTTCCTAACCCTAATCTTATCCGGGCTTTCCAACATTCCCCAGGAAGGAAAGAATTATTAGATCCATTTGACAGATGAGGAAAAGGAGGCCCAGAGAGGGGAAACAACTTGTTCAAGCCACCGGCAAACCAGGAGCAGGATTGTAACTGGAATCCAGGTCTTTGGGCTTATTACCCTATATCACACTGCATCTGCCCAAGTGACCACCACTTCTGAGTCTTCTTTTTTGCTGCTCGCTGTACTCAAACCCCCATCTGACATCTCCAATCCTAGAGCCCGAGCCCAGTGAAGGAGAGCTTTGTTTGTATTGCCCCTGGGAGCCCATAGTGAGGGGAAAGAGACAGAGGTGGTTTACCTGGTGCGAGAACGGACACTGGTGACCGATGCACTGGAAGTATGGCCCCCACCAGAGCCCCCTGAAGATCCTGGCTCACACAGAGGATTTCGACAGTAGGATGTCCTGTTGGGACCTCTTCGTCCTCCTGTGGGACTCAACATAAGGTAGAGCCTCAAGCCAGAGGGCAGAGATCAAGGATAATAGCAATACTGGCTACTGGTTACCTGGTGCCTCATTCCATCATTAATCACAGAGACCTCTGACCTGGCCCCTGCCTACCTCTTCAGCCTCATCTCCTACCATTCTCTGACTGGCCTCCATGCTTCAGCCATCCTGTCCTTTCTCTCCTTAAGCAAACCAAACCTGTTGCTACCTGTTGTACTTGCTGTATTCTATCCACAAAGCCCTTCCCTGACTGCCATTTTTAAAGTACCTGCCCCCATAACTCTCTCATTTCTATTTTCTTCCCACAATTCACTCTTGGAATTATCTTATTCATTTGTTAACACATTTATTGTCTGTCTTTCTCACAAGACCAGAAGATCAGTGAGATCATTACCCTTATCTGTCTTTTTTACTGCTGTATCCCCTCCTTCCATCACAGTGTCCAGCATAAAGTAAGTGCCCTATAAGTGTATGTTGACGAGTCAATGAACCCAGCAAAGTAGGTCTTCCACAGATTAGGAAACTGAGTTTACACTGTGTCACAGGTAGTTTGGGGTCTGAGGCTTGAGCTCTTAGCTCTGGTGTACACTGCTTTGTTCATATACTACAAGTCTCTCTAGGCTTAGGATCTGGGGCACCCTTGAAGCCTTTTCCTCCAGAGTCCAAGATCAGCTCAATAGGTGTCTCATGGTTGGTCAGGACCAGAGGCTGAGAGCCTGGCGTCTCATGGTCAGGACCACAGCCTGAGCATAGGGTCAAGGATGTGGGCTCTGGGAGAATGCTGTGGTTGTGGACCAAAAACCTGTTTCTCTAGGCTTAGCAGTCTAGCCCAAGCTCCCAGGTACCATCCTGCACAAAGGTCCTACACAAAGCTCCGAAGCACCACCCAAGGCCTAATCAAAGTTACAGCTTTGTTCAAACCTCCTCATAGCAACACAGCCTACACACATACACCCACCCCTTGCCCTAGCTTCCCAGCTCAGAAGCTTTTCCCACATGTCTCCAAAAAGTACTTGTCCAGGAGTTCTGCACCCAACCAGCCCCCAACCCAGAAGCCCTGTTCATATACTATTATACCTGGCTTAAACATCTCACACATGCACCCTCAGTCCAAAAGCTCTGCCCACACCTACTCTCCTCTCTTTAGAAGCTCTACACCCACATAAAGCCCCTGGGCCCAGAAGCCCCGCCTACACACTGTTGTCAGCCTAGAAAACCCGCCCACAAGCCAATAAAAGCTCTCTCTGCCCAGAACCTCCGCTCCAGAATGGGCTCCCGTGGTCTGGGAGGTCTCCTTCCCGCCCCATCTCCCCCAGTGCCAAGCCGCTACAGCCCAGAAAGTTCGCCCCCGCACAAGCGCCAACTGCCCACGAGCCCACGAGCTGCGCCCTAGCACCATGGCCCCGCCCACCGCTAAGCTCCGTCCCCACTTCTAGCCCAGGTGAGCGGGTCTCCCCCAAAGCCCATGCCCCCACAGGCCCTCTCCATTTCAGAAGTCCCGCCCCCCCGCGCCAATGCCCCGCCCCCACAAGCGAGGCCCCACCCCGCAAAGCGACAGGAGGGGGCGGGGTCCCTCTGTGCCCCGCATCCCCTCCCCCTTCCCTCGCCGGGATCCTGTCCGCGTGGGGGAGCAGTCAGCATCTTGGCCATCCCGACCCCCACGCCCGCCGGTTCCCCGGCCGAGCCGGAGCCGCTCCGCTCACCCATCTCCTCCCCCCCGGCGCTCTCCGCTCCGCCGCCGCAGCTCCTGCGGGCAATATGTCGGAGGCGACGGCGGCCGGGAGAGGACTAACCGCCGCAGCCCAGTCCCCGGGTATCAGCCGCGCGCTCCCGCTGGCCGCCAAATTTGCATACAAGGCGGGCTGGAAGCTGGGGGCGCGCTTCTTAAAGGGGCCGCGCGGACAAAGGCCGTGGCTGCGCGCTCTTTGTCTCGCGGTCCCCTACGCCCTTCCTGCAGCTGCTGCTCCGAGACCCCAGAGGGAGGGAAGTCACCTCCTGCTCTTCCCGTGCGTGCCTTCTCCCAGCATCTCTTCAGGCCCGAGGGAAAGGGCCGGAACCGCCTCTCGGCTCCTGCCCGAGATGGACTGTAGCCAGGAGTGGCCCGCAGGCGCCTCAAACTCAACGCGTCCCAAATTGGGCTTTCGTCTTTGTCTTCGGCCTTATTTTTCTTTGGTCCACCCTGGTCAAAACCTGGGAGTCATTTCCTTCCTTCCCTCGACCCCCCCACAACCAATCTTTCACCTAGTTTGGTGGACCCTGGGTCCTAAATCTTTCTCCTGCCATCACCTTAGTTCAAATCCAGATTCTGCTCCTTCTGAGCCTTGAAATCTTGTTTCTTGCTCTTTACAATGAGGCTGGTAATATTCACCTTAAAGGTCTTGGTGAGGATTGAATGAGATAACGCATGTAGAACAGGGTCTGTTTTAACAAATGTTAGCCATCATTATTATTAGGATGCATGGCAAGTACTTAACACAGAGGAAGTACTCAATAAATGAGCTACTACCACCAACCGTTAGGATTTCTTCCCTCACAAGACCTATAAACTGTCTTAATCACCTGGTAGCTCCATGGCTTAGGACAGTGCTTGGCACATGACAGACATCAATATTCAATTAATTGAATGAATTAGCAGATATTTAATTAATAGATACAGAGCTTACAGTTAAGTGGGAGGAGATGGACATAAAATTAGTAAATTCTGTAGTATGTTAGAAGGGAATGATTGTTGTGGAGGTGAACAGGAAAGGGGGATGGGAGTTTGCAATTTTAAACAGGACAGTCAGAGTAGGCTTCACTGAGAAGGTGCCTTTTGTCCAAACACTGAAGGAAATGAGTGAGTCAGTCATACAGCTATCCAGAGAAAAGGGGTATTCCAGGCAGAGGGAAAAATCAGTGGAAGGGCCATCAGGTATGAACATGGCTAGTGTGTTTAAGAAACAGCAAGGAGGTCACTGTAGCTTGGCTGGAATAGACATGAGAGTGGGATGTGAGAAGGGGTGGACCATATAGGGCTCCTCATTACTCTGAATGAGATGGGGAACTATTGGCGGGTTTGAACTTTTTTTTTTTTAAGATTTTATTTATTTATTTGAGAGAGAGTGAGAGAACAAGAAAGATTGAGAGAACCAGTGGAGGGAGGGGCAGTGGGAGAAGCAGACTCCCTGCGGAGCTGGGAGCCTGCCATGGGACTCAATCCCAGGACCCTGGGATCATGACCTAGCCGAAGACAGACACCTAACTGAGCTACCCAGGAGCCCTGAACTTTCATTTTTAAAGAATCACTCTGGCTGCTGTGTAAGAATAGACTGTAGAGGAACAAGGGTAGAAGCAAGGAGACCAGACAGAGGATATGGCAATGATTTTAGGAAGAGATGTTGATGGATTGTACCAGATTGAGTGAGGGAGATGTGTTGGATTCTGGATTTGAAGGTAAAGTCAATAGGATTTGTGGATAGATTGGATAGGTGTGTGGAAGAAAGACAAGATTGACTAATACTGGGCCCCTGGGTGGCTCAGTTGGTTAAGCGACTGCCTTCAGCTCAGGTCATGATCCTGGAGTCACAGGATCAAGTCCCGTATCAGCCTCCCTGCTCAGCAGGGAGTCTGCTTCTCCCTCTGACCCTCCCCCCCTCATGTGCTCTCTCTCTCTCTCATTCTCTCTCAAATAAATAAATAAATAAATAAATCTTAAAAAAAAAAAGATTGAGTATTACTCCAAGGTTTATAGTCTAGGCAAATGGAAATGTGAAGTTTAATTCAACACATATACATCTATTAAATTACAGATTTTACACCAAGTCAGGCCTTCCCTTCTGGAGGAATAGAGGCCCAGAGAGGGAGAATGACCAGTTCACAATGTAATGTAGAAACCAGGGCTGAGATTTCTTTTTCCAGCCAAAGAAATTCTGGTAGAAGAGCTGGCTCTGACCTCTTTAGACTGCCGAATTTGAAAGGTGTCTTGTTAATTTCTGAATTGCCAAAGCCCAACACTATCTGGCATGTGATAGACATTCAAATGTGTATTAGTTCAGTTGAATTCAGGTAGTGGCAAACTAGCTCTTGAAAGTCAATTGGGAAGGAAAGCTAAATAGTTTCGGGAATACTCCATAGAAGACTGAAGCTGGGCCATTCCTGGGAACTCATTTTAACTCAGGTTAACAAACATTTTTGAGCATCTATTATATAGCGGGCACTGCGGATACCGAGGTGCCACTCATCATTGGGAGAGACAGAGAGGAGAACCAATAAATTATGACACAGTGTGGTGATAGTAGCAGTATGTACGAAGTCCAGAGGTGGACGGAGGGTGACTAGCTCCAACAGGGGAGGTAGTCAAGAGAAGGCTTCATGGAAGATGACATCAGAGCTGGTTTCTAAGAGAGGAAGAAGAGTTGGCCTGTCATGCTCCTATGGGAGGAAGCGATAGCTCGGGGCTGGTAATTGCTTTATGGGGGCTGGTGGCAGGGGCATGTCTTGCTCTCCATCTATTACGTGGAAGGGTGCTGGACCTTGTACGTGGCAGATACTCAGGAAATGTTTGCTTAATTGATTTAAGGGCATTCATACAACCCAGTGACCCAGTGTAAGAGGGTAAAGCCACTCAGATGGGCTGCTATGCATGTAACCCATTATCTGGGGCCCCTGCCCACCTTGAACAGGTTGATTGTGCCTGCCCAACATCCATTCTTCCTTCTGGTTAGAACACTTTGATTTTCCCTTAGGGAACTACCCTTCCTCCCACTCTCTCCGTCCATGTGGTCTGGTGGGGCTGCCTTACTCTGCAGTTCCAGTGTGGGCAGATAACCCTGGCCTGGCGAATCAAAGCATTCCATCCCTGCCACTCCAGGCTGCAGTGACTGGTTTTGGGGAGGGGGAGGGATTAGTGACACTAGTCAGGCCAAATGAGATGCAGTGCAATCCTAGGACCTTTGCTGGAACAATTGGGAAATAATTTCCTCCCCTCCGGGGTGGCTAAGCAAGGGAGATATAAACTTGGAGCTTGTGGTGCCTATGTTGCCACCTTTTAAGGAGGTAGAATTTAAACAATGAAGGAAATACAGAAAAGTAAAAAAATCAGTAGACACAGTCTTGATAGCATCATTTGAACCCCTGGATCCAGTGATACCTGAATCCTTATGGACTTGAAAAAAAATTTATTTACTTATTTTTGCAGGGGAGGGGAGGAGCAGAGGGAAAGGGAGAGAGAGAATCCTTAAGCAGCCTCACAGCTGAGCATGGAGCCAACACTGGGCTCAATCCCATGACCCTGAGACCGTGACCTGAACTGAAATCAAGAGTGGGACCCTTTACTGACTGAGCCACCCAGGTACTCCTGGACTTTTTCTATTACAAAAAACCAGTTCGTGTTTGCTGACAACTGCAACTGAAATAATCCAGAACGATGTACACTTCTATCCCAGTATCCAGCAGAAGTATCTAGGGTTCTAGTCTTTTCACATCTGCCTTCTACAGGATCCCTGGGGAAGAGAATCAGAAGATGGCAGGATGTTGGCTAGGTTCTTGTTTTCCAGATCTGTGGCCACATGTTTTGCGACCCTGAAGCCCTCACTTCCTTTCTTTGCATCTTCATTTCCTGATTAACTTGCTCTCTATTGGTTCTTCCAGGAGTCTGGATTTTTGAGGAAATGCCACTGGCTCTGGGCCAGCCCTGTGTCATTGGGTGTCAAGAGTTGGAATCTCTTCCTTGGTCACGTTATTCTGGGGCCATGGCTGGCAATTCTGTCCTCTAGATCAGTAGTTTTCTACCTGGATTCTGCGGACCTCTAGTGGCACCCAGTGGGGGTGCTGAAACCACAGGATAAAACACATACTGCTTTCTGGAATGTCAGTTTTATTCATGAAAACATGAGGCAATATTTTCAATATTTACGTGTCGTTATTTAGAGCACCTTCTCTGCGCCAGTCTTAGAATCAAATCCTGGCTCCACCACTTAAAAGCTTCATGACCTTAAGGAGTTCCTTAACTTCCCTGTGCCTGAGTTTTCTCAGTGTCAAGCCAGGGTAGTATTAGTACCTGTCTTAGGAAATTATGGTGAAGATTAGTCTGTGGAAAGTACTTAGAACAGTGCCTGGTGAAGGGGCGCCTTGGTGGCTCAGTTGGTTGAGTGGCTGCCTTCGGCTCAGGTCATGATCACGGAGTCCTGGGATCAAGCCCCGCATCGGGCTCCCTGCTCGGCAGAGAGCCTGCTTCTCCCTCTCCCTCTGCCTGCCTCCCTGCCTACTTGTGCTCTCTCTCTCTGTCAGATAAATAAAATCTTTAAAAAAAAAAAAAGAACAGTGCCTGGTGCACAGTAAGTGCTATTTAAGTTTTAGTTACTATCATTATGACACAGATCTATCATGAAGTACAAAGAAAACTAATGTGAATTTAAGATTGAAGACTTTGAAGAAATGTCATCCGTAGCTCTGTTCCAGTTCTGCAGGGGTTGGCTCTTTCTTCTGACAGCAAGAATATTTACACCTGATTTTTATTACAAGCGCCAAAAGAGAATCCATGTGTCTTCATGTTTTTCTAATTTCCTGAGCCATTCTTACTTCCACGTATATGGTAGTCTCCCCGTCTAACTTTCTCCATCTCATGGCCACCCACCCACCTGTACTTACCTGGACATTTGTCTTCCCATGTCTTATAGTATTTGATTATTACAAAGATAATAAATGCAAGCTTTAGAAAATACTGTATTTCTTGTTTAGGTGTTCAAAAATGAACAGGATTTGGGTAGGTAATGTACTTGGGTGAGGATGAAGTGGGCAATGAAGATACAGAGGACAGCATGAGCAAAGGCCCAGAAGCAAGCTATGTTTTAGAAGAGCAAGTCCATTTAAGCTTG